GCATACATACGCATATCTAGAAATTAAAACTCCACTACATTGATTTCTCAGAAAGCTCAATGAAATACACGATGCGGCGGTGCAGCAAATGGAGGAGGACAGGAAAACTGCAGTCAAAGAGCTGCATGGACGTATCGCCGTCCTACAGCGCAAGCACGAGTATGTTGTATGCCGCTTCAATGAGTTTGCTCACCTTCAATTGTGCAAAGCGTTTCTACGTGAGAGTTGGAAGTTCTGTTCATTTCTGTTTATATTTCAGCGGAACTGTATACCCATGTGGCTCGAGTTAGTGGCCTTTTATCGTTTCAATCGTGTCTGTGGCTGCGCAGACAGTCTTGCTCTCAACTATGTGCACAACTATGTTTGCGACGGAGTAATGTCATCAGAAGTGGGTATTTGTCATCGCCATCGTCACTGACCTGAACGGAGAGGACGATTATCTCTTGTCACACGTGGCTGCAACTTCAAATACTGCACTCGAATATATTATTGCAACTAAGCAGTATTATCTAAATAGATTTGCGTGTTCTAAAATAGACTTGAGTGTCCATGGTGTTCTATTTAATTTCATCTGCAATTGAATAATGGCGTATACTCTAAACCTGAACAGGGAGACACTTGCTCTGGCCCACGAGAAGACTCAAGACGTAGAGTGCCGGCTAGAACGTGAGAGGTCGCTTACCCGGGATCTAAAAGAACAACTGGCTGCCAGTGCAAGCAAGCAACGCACGTTGAAGTTGGAGATAAGGAAACTCAAGACGGCTAATAGTGTTTTTGAGGACGAACTGAGTGAACAAGCAAAGTATACCCGCCAAGTAGAGGAGGCGATGGCGGATACCGAGTGCATAAATGAAACGCTGAAAGAACGCTTGCTAGGTACTTATTGGGGTGAATTTGTTTCTAGTTGCGGTTTGCGTCTGCGATTCCATGTAGCAGCCGTCTAATTGGTACTGTACAAAGTTAGATATGCAATGCTGGCCGGTGAGTACAGATGAACGAGTTTGTTATCTCAATTATTCTGGGATCAGTGAAATTTTTATTTTGCACCTCCAAAACTGTAGCTCTCGATATATGTCACTGTCATGTGCTTCAGCCCGAACGGAGGCCACAGCTGTTTTCCAATTCATCTTATGTCTTATTGTGAATGCCATACAGCGGTCCATTAGGGTTTGAGCATATTTAACGCCAATGATTTTTATTTTGCACCTCCAAAACTGTAGCTCTCGATATATGTCACTGTCATGTGCTTCAGCCCGAACGGAGGCCACAGCTGCTTTCCGAGTTCATCTTATGTCTTATTGTGAATGCCATACAGCGGTCCATTAGGGTTTGAACATATTTAACGCCAATTCCTCACCCCCCCTCACCCCCCAATTATTCATGTCATTCTTGGCACCTCACAGAGATGGAAGAGGAACGTGTTGTGAGAGAGAAGCAACACGCAGATGAACTGGATTTAGCGTATATCTCTAACACCAATGCCGACGGCAAGAACAACACAGCGCAAAAAGTAGGACATACTCTCAGTTTGGGCGATTTGCCACTTGCGGACGTACAGCAGAACCGAAAATCTGTACAAGAATGGAGAGGAATAGTTAGCCAACGGAGATCTAATGATGATGATAGTCTGGATAGTTGCGAGGTAAACGATGGAGGGCTTACTGGGGATGGGCTCGGCACCGGACCTGAGGTGGTACAGGAAGGTGAACCAGTTTGTGGACAAAATGGTCCTACAGATTCGCACACACGTAGTCGTGGACAAGAGAATTGGTGTGTGCACGAACATCAAGCGGCCGCAGTTAGTATTAGGCGAGTTGAAGAACACGGGCGAGAAGTCTCAGAGCAGACAAGTGAGGTTGATGCAAATGATACACCACCATTGCACAGTCATGTAGGGAAGAAATTTGCAGACAGTAGGGCATCTGAGTCAACAGCAGGTGATTGTACCGTTGACGATCAGTCTGTGTATTGTGTGATTACCGATAGTACAAGTGTAAAGTCCCAGAGTCTCTACGATGAGGATGCACAGATGGTCACATCACCGGGCGAGTTACAAGGACAGGAGACAGGGGTGCCCGAGTTAGGAACAGCAACAACATCAGAACTACTTCAACGCCCATCGCATGCGCAGCAGTCCGATCCATCGTCTGGAGAGATTCAATCACCGTCAGATGTCGCACAACTCGATGCTAGTGTTTGTAGGGATGAGTCTGCGGAGTCAGTAGAACACGGGGCCTTGCAGCGTGACAAGCCTGATCATCAGACAGGTGTGCAAATGCCCATGGCTGTGACACTCCCGGATGGAAGCAGTTATGAGAACCAGCAAGCGTACGTTTCAGAACATACTGCGGTGTGTGGAGAGGATGGTGCAGCGAGCGTGGCTGGCTGTGATATTAGGCACGATGCTCTGTATGCACATTCATCGGCGACTGTAGGACTGGAAGACGGTGAGAGTTGTGGCGATACAACTCAGCGTAGTAGTGCATGTACGGGCGAAGTAGAGGATGAGCTGAACACGGTACAGGGTGATATGCATTGGCGTGGAGACCACAACGGCACATCACACAGAAATAGTAGTAGTGGGGCGACTACACACACCACAACACCCCACGACGAGAGCCATGCCGGCGAGACAGAGCTCACAGGTCGTAAAAGTAGTGAAAGTGAACGCACTAGCAGTAGCGCAGATCGTCAGCATACACCACGCGGAGGCGTGGTATCGGTTTATCACCAAACGGCGGATGTGGATGTGAACACGCGTGCGCGGAGTTGTGGATCTTACTACAATAGTGAGGACGACTACAGCGGCGCTGCCTTCGATTTCGAACACCTTTGGAGCGATGCCGGCGAGTCTGAAGGTGAGCTACCGGGGGATGCGTGTGTTGAAGGCGGTGGTGTTCTTATAGACGAGGCTTGCGAGCTGGATAGGAACATGACGTTTACTTCTTTTGAGTCTGAAAGTGACCGTAAAAGTCAAACATGCGACTCGCGCAAAGAGACTTCTCGCGAAATCGACGACGGTACCAGCAGATCGTGTGTGCCAACTACAGCGGTAGAGAGCTTGCTCAGATTTAGTGTTAGAAACGAGGCGAACACCGAAGGAACTCGGAAAGACTTCGGGATACATTGTGCTATGGGTATGTTCCTCTGTGAACCAGTTTGCGTATTGTGTTTTACATGGAGCGTTTATATATACACTAATAATTTGTATAATTCAATGTGTATCGTCAGCGGTGTGAAAATTCGTCCAGCTGCGGTTGTTGGCGGTATTGCGTATACTTATAAGGTTGCTGTACGGCAGGATTGCATCTGAGCCTCCTATTTGTTAGTCACGTGTTCGTAATCGAGTCTCGCATTCCGAGTTTCGTATTCAGTCAGTATATGTGATCGGCCTAAAATGCATGTCGGAAACAGCACTCTGATATAGTTCATCTTATTTTCTCGATAGTAGTTCAATCTTTCACGCTGTCAGTTTTTGCGGGAAAATGAAGCCATCAGGCACCGTTCGACCGTCTCAATATCGTGATTATGTGTTTATAATATTTGTCAATAGTCGTGTTCTTCGACGAGGTACTAGACACTCATGGTATTGAGTCTCGTTAGCTTTACTTTCTTAAAGCCCGTCTCCTTGTCCCTCTTCCCTCGGGCAGATCCATCAGCAAATGATGACGGCCTACGTGTAACCGCTATGAAGTCCACCGCACCACTGATACCAGCTGATGAAGCATGCAGTGTCTCAGAGACAAGGAAAAATATGCGAGCTCGCAGCAGCGTACCTGATAGCGCGAATCAGGAACATAAGGGCTCTAGACCCACACACACACACATACATAAGACAGATATGAGCGCTGAACAGCGACCGAACGCAAACCCCACAGACATACACATACAGACACAGACACATGTGCATAACCCCCCACTCTCCACACATCCACTTAAGGATATATTAGGTATGCATAGACTAACACAACCAAACGGGACAGCGTGCACACCGCAATTACCCTCGTCTAAGACAAGTCTCCATCTAGACTTAGGATTACTAAAAAACTACGACTCTTATAGCAGCCACAGCACTTCACATATCAATACGTTTAATGGTGTCTGTGGGAACAGTGGGCAACATAACCGCACACATCACACCAATGCATTCGATGGTCGTACCAGTGGGGAAGACACGGATAGGCGACTGCCCCAAAGCACACTCAGTAGCAGCGGTACGATGAAGTATAGAACCTCCAATAGAGACAATAGGAAAAACCAGGCTGTCGCCACATACATGCGCACACCACGAGACTCACCTAGCAGCAGCACGAAGGGTACCAAAGTATCGGATAGCGCAGATGAGGATTTGATTGCGGATATGCGACTGCAGCAGATACTGGATACCCAATGCGACTACCTAGAGATAATGTGCGCTGAGCTCGAAAGTCACAAGCACGTAAGGATTGCAGATGATGCACGTTGGTTAATGGGTTTGGTGGCGTCTGCGTCCGTAATGTGGATTGTATTGTCTTTGTGCTGGCCGATGCCTGTTACTTCTCTTGGTGTCAGGCTGGGTATCTATGACATCCCAACCAGCTTACCATAGAAACACTCAAATAGTCCCGCATACTTGCGACAGTACGGACTATAGATGTCCTGCTCACTCGCTATTGAACTACCACATTATTGCCGAGGTAGCGGACTAGTTGAGCATTCGCCTATATTGTCTTCACACGTGTTCCTTTGTGCTGTGCTGTGCGTCCAGAACACCTTGACTATCCGTTGAATGCGCTAATGGCGGTATTCCTTGCGTTTGCCCGTGCTACGTGTAGGCGAATAGGATTGCCCTTGTGTTATCTGATGCCTGTTTATACTTCTCTTGGTGTTCGGTTGGGTATCGATGACATCCCAACCAGCTTTCCATAGAACACCCAAGTAGTCCCGCATACTTGTAACTGGTCGGATTTGGACACTCATGTATCAGCTCTTCCGAGCATCGAATGTTTGCCACGCCGAAATGTTTCATTCGCCGTCTGTCTATACTTCCAAACTCATCTGCCACGCGCCTCATATTCCATCGTGCACTTCATATGCTATACTCCAGGTATCCTTCCACAGAGAAACCGGGATGTCCAAACCACCACTGCCCCCAATTCAAAGGTATGATAATTCATGTAGCGTATATATGCGGTTACAGATGTGCGTGGGCACCTCGTATCGTTGTTCTCCTTTCAGTCACAAAAAGATCCGTGGGCTTTGTTGTCTATCTGCGCATTAAGTAATAAGTTATATACACCAGCCTGTGCGCTGGAGGATCTGTAGTACAACGCACGTGAGTGTACAAGGTCAAATGAACTAACATTATAACTCAGGCACGCTTTCAAAAGTCATCCTCACGTAGGGCCTTATATTACATTTCTTAATCCCCATACACAGGATACACACCGAGTCCATGCGTGTACTGACGACGGTGCTCCAGACTTTGCAACACAACGCACACGAGCCCACTACCACTGCTGATGTGTTGCTGAAGAGTATCCATCGCATCAACCATGTTATCTTGGCGGCTGTGGGAAAGGAGTTGGAGGAACAGGAGCGAGACGACTTGTTGGCCTTGAAGGTGTGGTATTCTTTGCATGATGCATTTTTTATCATCTGTGACGTATCTGTCTCTTCTTGCTATTCCTTTCGTATGTCCGTCTGTGACGTATCTGTCTCTTCTTGCTATTCCTTTCGTATGTCCGTCTGTGACGTATCTGTCTCTTCTTGTTATTCCTTTCGTATATCTGACGCGAATTTGCCTACGCATGCCAACCTTAAGGTCCGGTAAGAACCGTGTCTACCGTGCTTGTACCTCTATGTGCAGGAGTATATATGTGATGGTCGACAACATAGAGAGAGTTAAATCCTTGAATTCGCTAATTTTTGCAGGATCGGGTGTGCGAGGCCATTTCCTCGTTCAAGCTGACGAACTCTCATGACAGCTTCAATCGCGTATACAGCTGGTAGGTTGACCGAGCTTTATAACATTTTGAATTGTTATTTTGGCTCTGACAGTTTGCTTCATGTTTACCTCAAGCAAGCAACTATAATGATACAATGACAGTACCTTGATGAATTTTCCAAATATTTTATTTTAAGCATGGCATCAGTATTGGGAGTATTACTATTGCCGTACTGGCTATATATATATATAATATATATATATATATATATATATATATATATATATATATATATATATATATATATA